GACGAAAGGGAATAAAAAGGGCGGAGTTGAAATAAAATCGGTACATGAAAAGGAAAGGACAGATGCCTACTGGTTGGGGCAGATCAGGATAGTTCGCTCAAATGTTTAAACAATCCCATGCATGTCCTTTTTATTCTAATCATCGTATCACACCAAAGCATCTACTTTTGATATTTATTTATTGCTCGGCCAGGCACATTATTGAGGATACTCTATTAAAAAATGCCTAAGCTCCAACAAAGATGGCATTGTGTTTCTTAACTATGCTCTTTTTTAGCGAGTATACGAATTTCTAGGGAAAATATTTCCTATAGTGATATATGATCCTTAAAAGAGAGTATTGTGAACAATTGATAGACGCACGTATGCGTCAACACACATACACACACACATTTTATAGATACATTTCTCACAAAAATGTGGGAAGTATGGCATAAGCGCGACTTCATTTTTTAGAACGAAGTATTACGACAAAAGTTCACACGCGAATACGAAAATACATTTTGTGTGTTGACTTATCTATATATACATATGTGTATTTTCTGGGTTGATCGTAAACTTACCCTCATTTCAATCATTTACTTTGTATTTTTCTCTCTCTTCTTCTTTTTTATTCATTCACAGGATTGACATAAAATTGCAACGAGTACATTTACATGTTATGGTCTACTTTTTTATTAAAATTTATCACTTTGCTTGCAAACTGTTTGGGTGATCAAAATTTATTTTTACTACGTGTAAGACGCGTAAGTTTGTCAAGAATCCAAGAATAATGAGAACAGAATAGAGAAATATGTATTTGCATATATAAGCAAAAAAAATATTCTATGTCTTTTCATTCTGTCGACGATCGTAATATTGTTCGTATTTTTATAGCTCTTAAATATCGTAGCAAATACAAATTACTTTTGACAAAATAATTAGAATTTTGACGACAATGAGATTAAAAATTGTACCAAGAACCATTTTAATGGCTATGTTTATCTTCGTATTTTAATCCTCATATTGCTGATTTACTATAAAAAGACAGTAGAATTCCAGTTTCATCAGACGCTAATAAAATAACAATGTGTTTCTTTCGAGCCGCAGGAATAAAAGTCCAATAGCCTCATTCTAACGCAAGATGAATTAGCAACAATACGATCTCAATAGTGGATAAAGAGAAAATAATATCGATTTGTGTTAATGGCTTATCTTTTGCTCTAAAGAAACAATCATGTTTTTAAAGAAGATGAAATTTTGATAACTCAAGAAAAAGAGTTATATATAATTCTCGCCCTATTATCAGCATTAATATCAAATTTCATACTCGTACTCTGTTTCTCTTTCTTTTTCCCTTCCTATCTTCCTCAATCTTTCTCTCTCTCTTTCTCTTTTTCTTTATCTCTCTTTCTTCTTCTCTCCCTCTGTCTACTCTCGTTTTCTCTTTTCCTCTATTTCTCCTTTTTCATAAGCTCTTTTTCACAGATCGAGTATATACGCATTTATTCACGCGTGGGTTTCTACCGATATCAAAAAAATTCTCATCTGCGTCTGACATTCACATCGATTACGCCACAGCTATTTACATTTTTGCGAGACATGTAATTTTCTCGATACAAAACGTTTTCGTTTCTTTCTATCGAGCCGTTCCATTTTTCTTCGTTCTTTTCATTTCCAATTAAGTCCTAGAATTGTATGAGGTGAAAAGAAAAACGAAACGAGCCACGTTTTATCTTCAATAATACTGCGCCGAAGCTTTTCAAAGTTTTCCTCGAGGTTTCATGCTGACATTTTCATATAGAAAGTATAACCTACACACTTATAGTATATGATATACATAGACTATTTTTACTTCTAATTATTCTACTCTTTTTTTCTCAAAGGCCCATGTCAGAAATTAATCATATGTGAATTTTTCTTGAAAAAGCTTTCGTCTTATTCTCGTTTCGACTGCCATCCGATATTTCATCCGACAAAGAATGTCATAATCGCGGAGGTATAGCTTTCGTGAAAAGATAAAAGAAAAGAAGGAAAAGGAAAAAGATAAAAATATAGATAAACGGATATATTTATTATAATTCTGAACAATGTCATGGGGCAACTTGTTATCTATCGATGAAATATGTATGAGTAGAGAGGTAAAGATGATCACAATCGGAATTATTTTTATGGAGAAATGATATTTTCTATTTCTCTATCACTTTTTCTCTCTTTCGCTTTCTCACTTTTTTTTTATTTTATCATTTATTTTCTTAGCTTTTTTATTATCTTTAAACATAGATACATTCGCGTTACTATTTTAAAAAGTCGTTTATCCCTACGAAAGTGGAATGATAATATTTGTGCTATCTTTAGTTATTCATCCGTGCACAAAAATGAAGATTATAAAAGAAAAAAGAAGAAAAAAAAAGAAAAAAAGTGTATCAACAAGAAACACTGAAAAAATGAAATAAAGTCAGAAAAAATGAAATAATCGTTCGAGTATTTTTTATCGAGTAATCTTGCAACTTGCATCTCTTTCGTTGCATCTTTTATTTGTATATATAAGGATTTGACAAGTTAGTGTATAGCCTCGAATGTGGGTCGGAGTTTTCATTCTTATCTACGATAGTAAACCACGGCCAATAGTAGGAACCGATACGATTTCACGGAAAAATATGCATTATTTTTAAAAATGTATTCAGAAAAAATCTCTCTTCGCCGGATACATCGCGGTAAAGTTATTTTATTTTTGCTTTATTTTCATAATGGCATAATATGCATCATTCGGAAACTGTCGACCTACGAGCTTCTTAACTGTATTGAAAGTTCATATGATTATAAAATACGATGCTCGGACGTCGAATTATCGATGAACGTTACGTGTCATAAGAAGAAAATGGAACGGGATACATATAATTTTTTACCGAATCAACGGTCCATCAATTTCTTCCTTTTTATTATTTTTTATTTCATGTTTTCCCTTTAAAAGAATTTTTATAAAGGTTTTACGTAAATCATGTCGTGTCAAAAGTTTTTAATTTGCAACACATTCAATTCTGTGGATTCATTTTTCTTTTCCTTTTTATTTATTAATATTTCCCAAAAACGTATTCATTTAAGATCTCATTCGTTCGTAATTATTTAAAACGTTAAACGTTATTTTGCGATTTAATTAATAAAATGACAAAGTTTAAAACTATTCGAACTGTTTTGAATGATGAATTTAATTTTGTTTCTTGAAAGATAAAACAAAAGGATGATTAAGAGAGAAGGAAAGAGAAAGAGAGAGGAAGAGAAAAGAAAGGGGGAAAGAGAAAGAGAGAAAGGTCGGAAAATAGAGTAATTGGGATCAGAGGAAAAATTAGAGCAAGTGGTAAGCGACGAAGACGTCATCAGCACCAGATGATGGCGATAAGAACAAGAAGGAGTATGGTGAGATCGTCACTGGCAGAAGGGATGCGCGTATCTTCTTAATGTTGGAAGAGGGAGATGGCTGAAATTAGATATAAAGGTACCGGCTTTCGCTTATAACCGTCCGTTCGAAAAGAATACGATAATATGCTGGAAAAAAGGACTGTTGGATAACGAAAAGTCGAAGAGCAAACTACAAGAAGGATGATATTTCGTTCGCATAGAAAACAAATTTCATGATTCTATTCCTTTTTTTCTATCTTACTTATCTCTGTTCTCTTGAATTTTCAAGTATACGACATAGCCGTTCATTTAACAATTTAATAATCGATAGTATCTCTTTGAAACGTTTATACGCTGAAAATGTACGTGGTGCAATCCGTTGAGCATACATTTTTAATGGATTTACTTTCAGTTTGTGATGAAATCCAAACTGATTCTCATTGAAATTGACAGTTGAAATCGAATTTACTCTGTAACGGATGATGACCCATCTATGGTTTCACGACTAAAGGAATCTTAACTGGATTTAACTAATGTTTTTCAATAATATTTTTCGTTTACGTACAAAATAGTACTTATTAAAACATGTTTATATTGCACATGATAATAATAGACAAAGAAAGCTTAAAATAAAAAATATCGTTGGCAGGAAGTTTTCTGGAAATAGTTACGAGTCTACTAACATTCGTGGAAAATCTTATTCACGGGAAATTTTGGAGTGATTAATTATTTCATTAGGAACAAAACAGTATCGTTATATCAATAGAAGTGATGAGAATAAGTGTTTTCGTTTTGTAGAAGGAACCAGGATGGCCGACTTAACCAGCGTTGCATATTGACTTCAACGCTTCCATAAATTTTCATTCGCGTCGACAGAAATTGCTGGTTATTCCGCGTATTTGCGTACCATCGAGTAGCACGGTCAGACAGCTAGCGCGTTATATTTGCTTCTTTTTCTTCTCCGTTAACCTCTTGATCTTTTCACGGCTTTTTTAAATCATTTGACTATGACGACAAGATAAAGAGAAAGAGAGAGAGAGAGAGAGAGAGAGAGAGAGAAAGAAAGAGAGAAAGAGAGATTTAAAACGCCAAAGAAAGCTTATAATTTCGCGCGACGCTGTTCTGAGTTACGATTAGAAGGAGATGAAAAAGAGGAAAACGAGTGAAAGAAAAATTAAATGTCCAACGCCGAGAAATGAAATTCCTCGCATAAAAATCGTTCCATCTTTCCTACATTCGCTCATATGAGAGTGTCGACTCGTAACCAGGTTAAATGCTAATAAAAAAGAGAAAAAGTAAAAAAATGCAGGGGGAAACATAATAAGACAAGCAAAAAAACAATATAATGAGTTATTTGCCAACTATGAAAAAATGCATGGTACAGCTGTACGGTTATATTCATAGTCGCATTGATTATAAATTTTATAATGAAGATAATATTACGTTCTGTTATATAGAAAATTAAAAATAGAACATGTGTGATCCTCTTATATTTTTACTGATTATTTTCCATTTCTTTTCTTAAAGAATGATATGATTATCATATTTTTTATTATAAAAAATATGATCTCTGCGAGAATATACACGTGTCCTATACGAATGTCCAACTTTTTCTCTTCCAGCTCTCAGAGGACATCGGTTACGTTCTGTACTCGGCTCTTGGGAGTTTCTACATCCCCTCCTGCATCATGGTCTTCGTGTATATACGCATCTATTTCGCGGCGAAAGCTCGAGCGCGTCGCGGAATTCGGAAACATCCACGGCCACGGCCGATGTCGGTGCCACCGGAATCACCGGATATCAGACAGACGAGTTTCACGCATAGCACTCCGGCAACCGAAATGAGGAGATCGACAGCGAGTGCCGGAGGTAGCGCTGGGACGCTTCTGGAAAACGTCGCGACAATTGAAAATCAACCAGTCCAAATACCGATCGTCACCTGCGACTTCGCCAGTGACGTCAGCACCTCTGAGGCCGATCCTGCCGGTGGTAATAATATACCTATGGAGGAAAAAGACACCTTAAAGGTAATTGACCATATTATTAAGGATCTTACGTTGACTACATTTGATTTCAACGAGTTAAGTTGAGATAATATTTCAACGTGTTCCGATTTGTCATCAGGTAACGATACCCGTACCGGTTCAAAAGAGCAACCTAAAGGCAAGTTTGTCGGTAAACGGCGACGGTCAATCGAGTCAGAGCGTGCCGGCACGATGCAGAGCACCCAGTGTTGGCATCGATGTAGACATGGTGTCGGAGTTTGATCCTTCTTCGTCGGACAGTGGCGTCGTCTCGAGATGTGCCGTAGTGAAGCCATTAAAGCTGCGTCTTTGCCAGCCAATTTTTGGTCGGAAGACAACTGGTAAGTTGAAGAGAGAGCAAGCAGAAACGTCTCAACACCAAGGAAAAGAAGAAATCGTGATCGAGCCGAAATCGTCGAAACCACGCGATCCGGAGCGAGAGAAGAGACGATTAGCCAGAAAGAAAGAGAAACGAGCTACCCTCATCCTTGGATTCATCATGGGTAGCTTCATCGCCTGCTGGCTACCTTTTTTCCTTCTTTATATCGTGAAACCCGTGTTCCCGGATCTCGATATACCCAGCCAGGCATTTGTCATTGCCTTTTGGCTTGGTTACATGAATTCCGCTTTGAATCCTTTTATCTATACGGTGTTCAACAAGGATTTCCGTCGGGCGTTCCGTCGTATACTTTTCAAATGAAAGACAGCTTCTCTCCGTGAGGATAACAAATAGCAAAATGTTCAAATTCGAACTAATTTCTTCTGCGGAAAAAGATCGAAATGCCGACCTGATCAATCGGTTTCAAGATCGAGAAGGATCGAGGAAGGTTCTTGAGAATGAAGCGTAAAACCTTCGGAGAGAAATGAAAGGAATTATTTTATTACGTTCTCTTAAACAATGAAATCTCAAGGATACGTTCGCAAATAACAGCCGATGGATTCCATAGCAATGGAATTTATTGAATCCTCTCGATAGTGAGTACTTTCTCGAAACCTTGTACTGTAAAGTATTTTCCACGAAAATTAACAAAGGATTCAAAAGCTCATCGTCCTCGATCCAGGAACAATGCCGGGATGAATAATGAACGAGGCTAATGCAATAGTTTGGCGAAATAAAGTGGAGACAGAGAGCAAGGAAGATGGAGTCAAACCATTTACAATTTTGAGGGAAGAACTGTCAGCTACGAATTCTTTCTCGTCTCATCTTCGATAAATTCGAGAGCATGTGAACGACCACTATGTACGACGATTATGTACGTGTACGTAGGTACTTGTTATTTCCTCCTCAATGATCCTCTAAAGCTTCCTGATTTTCTTTCTAAATATGTTTCTCACTTGTTTTCGTTAGTCGTCCTTTGATGTGTCAAACAACAAGGTTCCACGAGAACGATTTTCCTTTCATTTCTTCCTCTTCATGTCTTTATTTTTGGAATTTATCTTTATCCTTGAATGGATCACACTATATAAGGACACTTCACGGTCGCAAATAGATACGGTTCTTTGCGCGTTTTAATATATATGAATTTTTTTCCTTTATCGATTATAACGTTTTGTACAAATATGATTAAAATCGCCTCACTTTAATTTTCAACGTAGCGTACCATTCTCTTGATAGCCTTTGGAATATCTGAAAAGAAAAGGACGTACCGTGATTGACGGATCGTCGAATACGAGACGAGTGAAGGAAAGAGGGTGGAAGCCAATATGGATTTCGGTGATAAGGCTGTGGCACATTCGTTGGTCGGATTATTAGCATAGACGTGTTCGATACAGCATCTCTCATCTGTTTTATCTCTCCCTCTTTTCTCTTTCTTTTTGAAAAATCTTGGAATTTCAAGCATACGATATCGGAAAAATTGGCGTACTTCGCCCTCGACTTTCAATTATTATTCGTGTCTTTTTTCGTACACGTACATATGTACTTACGTATTTTTGCATGTGCTACGTGCATTCAAGCGATATCTGTTTTAATTTCAATTCGTTTTTAAAACATCGTTTGGTCGTTTCTAATAAAAAAGAAAAATATACACATGTATATATGTATATATACATATGTATGTATATATGTGTGTATGTATGTATATATACGAAGCGTGTTCTACTGGATCGACGTCAAAAAAATATTTTTTACAATATCGCTTTTTTCGCCTTTCGCTTTTGAGGATTCCCGATGGATGATTTTGAAAGAAAAATGGCAAGCTCGAACGATTACAAAGGATCTCTAAATAATAATTTAACTTCGCGTACGGATCAAACAAAGGTAAGACGTGAAATTAACGCGTTAGAAAATAACACGTTCAGAGGAGTAAACGAAATGATCGATCGACTATAAAACACGTTGCTGAGGTCGAGAATGTTACTCTAAAAACACTTCATCGAGATATATCACGCTTTAAGATTTTTCAGCGAGCCGAGACGAAGTTTTCGTTGGAGCTTACACGTTCGAATGACTTTCCCAAACGACGGCGTTTCTATGCTACGCTTCGTATCCATCAAAATGCATTTTACGATTATAAACTTGATCGATGACCAGTAGACTCGAACGAAGAAATAGTGAAATAGAGAGAATATTTCGTTAAAAATCTTTCTCTTTCTCTTCGATCTTTATTTTTTTAGTTCTTTTTATTATATTTTTCTATTTGACTCTTAAGTGATTAAAAAATTGATAGCACGTAATACAAGACGAACGGGAATAATGAAAAAAACAATTATTATTTCAAGAATAACATCTATTAAAAATAGAAAAGAACGAAGTACTCTCACAGTTTGGTTTTTAACAAAACGTTATGTGTTCGTCGATCTAGATTTAAGTGATAATTAAAGGATAAGGACTAACGCATAAAAAATTAAAGTTGATAGAAGGAAAGAAAAACGGTAAAACTTTCTTGGCAAATTTCGATGAGATACAATTGTAATTATATTTACGCAAGAACGCAATTGCTTACGAACTATGATTATTTGATATGTGTACTAACAATAAGTTCGTTGCCTTAGGCCGGACTGATCAAATCTCTTGCAAACGGGATTTAAAAAAATTTTTTCTCTGTATGTGTATCAATAAGTATTAAAAAGATATTTACAATTAATCTACAATAACCAAAACGAAGAGGTAAAACTCGAACAACGTTACATAAAGAATTAATATAAGACGATTCCGATCAGATATTAATAAACAAAGATAATACAAAGGAATATATTAAATATATTATTATAAATTACATTACACAAAGCCATCGCGCGTATTGTCCTAAAATAATAACGAGAAGGAAAACAAGGGCATAAAAACATTAAGAATAATAATAATAATAATAATAATAATAATAATAATAATAATAATAATAATAATAATAATAATAATAATAATAATAATAATAATAATAATAATAATAATAATAGTAATAATAATAATAATAATAATAATAATAATAATAATAATAATAATAATAATAATAATAATAATAATAATAATAATAATAATAATAATAATAATAATAATAATAATAGTAATATAGTACTAATAATAATAAAATAATAATAATAACACAATTACAATAACAATAACATTAATACTAATAATAATGAAATCTAATAATAATAATAAAATAATAAATAATAATATAACAATACGATCATTACTGTTACTTGTAATCACAAATAATACGTCACACACGAAGTACTGTACACGTACACGATTTATCTTAAAAGGGAAAACAAAGGGAAACGATTTACATACGATTGTACACATACGTATATTACATAATTATTGATTACTATTATTGATACTATTGTCATTATCGTAATGTTATATTATTACATGTTATCATTTTTATTAATATCAACTAATCAAAGTCGCTAATAGGGATTCAAGGATTTATCTTGATTAATATTTCCATTGAAGTACGTGCGTGCCCTCCGAACTTCAACCTCCGCCGTGACGTACAACCTTCAGAACTTTGCGGTTTGCGCGAGATCATCGTTAAATTTCTTAAAGAACGCTCCACTTCGAAGTTTAATCTTCTATCAAAAAAAGTAATAATTACGAAACTAATAACGATCATCGATTGAAATTTCATTTTTTTACTATTTTATTCATATATTTCTAACATTCTGTTGAATAGATTTTATAATAAACACGACGATACAGAACTTTTTAAAATCTTCCTTCGTTATATTTTACTTTAAATTGTAACGATTTGACGTCTTTAAAAATCTTTTTCCATGATCTCGTGCAGGGCACCGAAAAACTAAACTCTATCGATAATATTGGAGCAATGAAATCACTGTGATATCACTAAAACGCTTTCAAGGTGTGTGTGTGTGTGTTTTGAAGGATCGACAATCGACAAACCTTCACGGAATTGTCGTAGAGATTATTAAGTTATTGAAATAAAACAGGGACAAGAGAGAAAGAGAGAGAGAGAGAGAGAGAGAGAGAGAGAGAGAGAGAGAAAGATAGAAAAAAGACAAAGAGAATTTATGATATTGACTATCGTAAATTTATTGTGAACTTATATTATTAATTGGAGAAGAATCGATATATATATATATATATATATACATATATATATATATATGTATATATATTATATATGCATATATAATATATTAAAAATTAATATAAGTATAATTATTATATCATTAAAGATTACTATCACCGTACAATTATTACCATCATTGTTAGTCTCACTAATATCAATAACAAAAAAAACACTCCTATTGTCTAAATAGTGTTGATTGTCTGTTATAGAGAATGTGAGAAGGTTAAATTAAAGAAAAAAAGTAAGAAAAAAAAGAGGAAAATAAGATACTTAATATTAACTATTTACAAGATGCATTTCTGTATACATAGAAGAGAATAATAAGGAAAAAGACCATGAATTTGAAGCAAAGAAATGCGGAATAAAAGAGTGAACTCGAACCGATTCGTTCAATTATCTGTATAGCGAAGAAGGAGATAAGTTGTAAAGGAAAAATAGAAGAATGAAAAGGTTCGTAAAGCAAAAATGTGAGACGTGAATCAACTCCGACTCAACCGATTTTCGGCTTAGAGTTTTTAGATATAAGTAATAGTATCCGATTTTAAGAGATTTGATGATTATAAAAATTAATAGTCTATTTAAACTGAGAGTTCTATAGTGACAATAGCGACTATGCATAATAAATCTTTAATGTGTCCGTCGGCGAAAAATGCAACAAAAATGGAAAAACGTAACCAAACAGACTTCGCTGCCATGGATTCTGTCCTCCAATCTGGATTCATCACACCAAATGGATTTTTATCTTAAAAACGGTCAACCGATCGTCTGCGAAAAGGAAACTATGGCGAATCACGCGTTTTACTTACATTTTATTCCTTTTCTCTTACAATAAAAATCGGAGAGTTCGTTTTCTATGTTTCTTACGAATTGCTTCAGATTTGGATCTCAGAATAATAATGTCCTTAGAAGAATTGCAACATTTTCTACCACTCGTCTCGAAAACAGATTTGCCACGTCGTTAAAGTGGCGTAACACTTATCGACTCTTCATACTCCGCGACTCTTAGAAAGAAGTATAGCGTTACTTCAATAAATTTTCTTTCATTGATCACGAACTTCATCTTTTGTAATTTTTTTTTCTACACGTCATGTCATGCCAAAAATATGTCGGCCACTTGTTTTCGTTTATTAAGAGAATTTTCAAATAATTGTAGTTATTCAAATAATATTGTTTTCCATATATTATATTAGATTCTAACATTAACATTTCTCTCTCTCTCTCTCTCTCATTTTTTTTCTCTCTGTCTCTCTCTGCCTATCTGCCTGATTGTCTCTCTTTCTCTCTCTTTCTTTCTATCTCTTTCTTTCTTCTTCTCTTGTACAAATGTATTTAAATTCTTTTGAAGACTCTTCGATCGCATAGTTAACAAACAGTATTCTTAAAGTACATCAAGATCAAACACGCATCGACTCGATATATGTCCATTTCAAATGTTCCGATTCGAAAATATATAGATTTATCAAAGCATTTAATAGAAATTTGCAAAATACGAACGAACGATATTATTCCTACATTATAAGACTCTCATCTTCGAAAGAGAGAATTCTTTTTATAGAGGGAGGGAAAGAGAGGAGATAGTGTATTCAGAAACTTATGTGGCATCATTTCGAGAGAATGCAGCTTTAAGAAGAATAAAAGAAAAACAATCCAACTTCAATCAAATTGTTTTGTTTTCTTGCTATCGCATTCCATCGAGTCCTTCTAGCCGCTCATTCGTCTCGTAACGATCGATTATCTCATAACGAAATCTCGGATTATGTGTCCGTTTTTTCGAAGGAGAAAAAAAATAAAAAAAATAGAAGATAAAACGAGCAAGATCACGGACAATCGGTATCTTCGTCGGCTATGGCTTCTTCCTCGCTCAGATCATTGGCTTAATGTTGATATCGTTCAAAAATTCTTTCGGTTGGCGGTTTTTTCGAAAAATCAACATTTTTAACTATTATAAAGTTGTTTGTTCATTACGATCAAGTGTACTAAACATTTAGAAGGACAGTTCATCTTTATTTATTTACCGAATTCGTTTAGATTTTTTGAGAATATCGGTCAGAACTGCCAATCCTGTTTTAAATTAATGACGATCGATCGATCGAATTTCGCGAAAGTTTGATACAATACGAACAGTATACCTATTAACCTATTTCGAAAATGCTTGAACAATCAGAATAAAAGAGATACAATATTGCGATACGAAGCTGTCTCTCATCGTGAATCTCTCATTATCCCTTAGACCTTCCATTTTTTTCGGACCTTCGCTTGAGAACGTCAAAGGAAGGCGAAACGATCGCGATCGGATATTTCGCTTTAAAAGTGAATATATTTTCTCATACAGAAAATCCTTCTTTTCGAGGACTTCATGATCGGACTTTCCCTTTTTCCTTTCTTAAATTTTTTTTTGGTTTCACATATCGTCTACGTGGAATAAAATCAAGATTTCTTTCTTTCATTTGATATGT